CGAAGTTAATCTCCCTTATTTTGATTCTCTTTTTTGTTTTGCGCAGCTCACGAGGGATTATACTGTTTCTATTTTTCACTTTAAAAAGAAGATAATTTACTAAATGTGAAGAAAAGTTTTAACTTAAATATAAAATATTAAGCTTTTACAAAACTCTATTATATGACCTATAATTATTTTGAATAATTGAATTATTTATCATAAAGTATTTTGTTGAACAACATTTTGGCAGCTCTTAGGCATATTTCATCAGCACAAATAATCGTAATAAATGACAAACAAAATGCTTAAATTATGTTTTTAATAAGGAAAACAATACTTTATGGCACAACTCCCCATTTCCCTGCCCATATATCTTTTCTTCGTTTTTTACCCCACGACCAAAAACAAGTCACGTAAAAAAGTAAGCAAAAGAGCGCAGAACAACAAAAGAAAAAGCCTTGAAAGAAGGCACGGCTGCTTAGATAAATGAATGCGAATTACGAGCAAGAAAGGAGGGCAAAAGGGGAACATTTTCCGGAGGGGAAAATTCAACTTCCAGTACCACATACTTTGCATACTTCTTTGGGAAGCATTTGAAACAAGCGTGAAGCCGCAGCAACTGTGTAAAATTTGTTTGGAAAAATCTCCCGAAATGCGATGAAAAAAAACAAATCACAAAAGATGAAAAAAATTATATACAAATGACTTTTTATGTTGATTTCATGGACGCAGCTGTTGCGGGGAGCTCCGCTGTTGTTGCCCATAATTTATTATCCTGCACGATTTGTTTTATGAACTTTAAATAAAAATTTATTAGCAGGCAAGGGAGAGGAGATAAAGTCGAACAAGTTGTGCGGCATGTGGCTGTCGCAAGACAGTTTGCATTTTTGATTAATTTCCATTTCGCTGCTATCGACGATGCATCAATCAAAGTTTTCAACATTCTGTCCGTGAAATGAAACAAGGAGGACGAAAACTCCTTCCTCTTGGCAAGGGAATTTTCCCCTCGAGCTTGAAGTTTGATGTATGAGCCTATCAATAAGTTTGACAAATACAGAAAGCGGTCAGTTGATTTGAAGAATCGTTTTTAATATAAGTTTATACTTCATAGGCCAACATTTCATAAATTATTAAATTAATATTTAAATATATAAATCAACAAAAAAAAGGTTGTTTAAGTTTATACCTTTCGAAAACAGAAAAGAATTAAAGTCACCTACCTAGATTTTCTCACTCTGCAATCAAAATTCTTTTCATGACTAGCCCCAGATTTCATTTGTTGACGTCAGTCTGATCCCCTGCCGATTTAGCATCCCCAAAAAAAGTAAAAGGAAATCTTAATCCAGACTGTTTGGGGGAAATGTAATACAATCTCACAATTTAACGCTACTTAGCACGGCGTATGAATTTCCTTCCATTTGTAAGCCACTCCAAGACATCGAAGAACATTTTCTCCCCAACAGGAAGCAACAGAATCCAAATGAAATATAGACAAAGCTATTCATACTTTCTGGTAATGGCTAATCAAACCGAAATTCAAGACAGTTTCCTGGAAATATTTGTCTTATTTTTTTTTACAACAAGCAAACTTCGTATGCGCTTAATGTGCATAAAGCTATTTTTTTTCCAATGATGCTTGCATACAAATACAAATAATTCCAGCACTCAAATTTTTAAAAAATGTATGCCTTCAAACCGCGTCAGAAAATCGTTTAGCAATAAAATTAAAATCTTACATAATTGTTCCCCAAAGTGGCATATGGACGAGTCGTTTTCTTCGAGGGTTGACTCCGGATTTATCTCCACACAAAGTCAGCCGAAAAAAACGCAACTCGAATATAAGGTTGTACGCCAATTTTATTAACTGCAAATCTTATTTGCATGTTTATTTTGCATAATGTGCCGAAAAACAGGCGTCAAGCCAAGTCACACCCCTGGAAAAAGTGGGGGATGAGGGTAGCTTTCTTTTATTCAAATATTTTCTTATGACTTGCCAGAGCGCGACAAAAATTCGATTTGAGTGTCTGTCAACCGCCGAGCCCCGCCCAAAAATACAAAAAATGAAAAACAAATTTCACGCTTAACAACGCGGTTTCGTTGCGTTTGCCGATTTGCATACGAAATCGGAGTAGTCGAAGGACCTGTCGAGGGTGGTTGCAACAATTACAGATGTTATTTGGCCTTTCGTTTCGAGTGGCTTTCCGCATTTTCATATTTTATGCACTTTCCACGTGTCAAATCGCGCGTCAATCAATCGATGCGCATCAGGCATGTTTAATTTTTTTGAAAATTGCCTATCCACTCTGCTGCTGCCTCTTTATTTGTTTTTCATTTTTATGCCCCGGCACACCCCACGAAAATATAAAGGAAGACAAAAAGAACAGGAGAAGGTGCTGGTTTCAATTTTACGCCGATTGGCTTTCGGCAATCGCCTGTGCAAATAAGCTGAGCGAGCGATAAGCCCAAGGTCCATGCTTGTCTGGCTATATCTCACTGGCCATATAGCCGGGGCTCAAATTTAAATAAATACAAGCTAAGTGGAAAATAAAATGCTCACAAAAGGTAGTCAGGGTGTTTTGCCTTTTGCACTTAACGATACCATTTTTACATGAGCCAATCTGTAATTGGATTTATTGGGTTACTTAAGTAGATAAACCCTCTGCACTTGCTGGCTGACTTAATACATATTTTAGTTAAGCATTTAGACCAAATCTGTTATTTTGGAGTTGAAAGTACATGTTTTCTAATTTATTTGAAAGATTCTAACTTATTTAAGATCAACAACAGATGTTTGAACCGCTCTTACTTACCGCTCTTAAGAGATTTTCTCATTATAAACCCAACCAAACATTAAAACCGTTGAAATGAGATGTTGAAAACGTTGAAAGCAACTTGGCGGGGCTTATTAAAAATTCAAGTATTGCCAATTTTTGGACTCCGGCGCAAGGCAACTGAAATGCGATACAAAAACGTAACCCCAACCCAAAAAGCAGATGAGAGCGTTGACAACGCACGGGGAAAAGGCACTTACAACAATGGAAATGATTTTTGCATAATTTATTCGATGATTATTACAAGGCAGGAGACAGTTTTTGAGTGCCACCCACCCGTTGGGCGGCAGTTAATGTTGCTTTTTATTGCAATTAGAATGTTTTGGGGATTGTAAGTTGACGCCGCGGATCCTCGGTCCTTGGTCCCTGGTACTTGGTACTTGGTCCTTTGGCAACTGTGCGTTTGTGTTTGTGCATATTCGCTGGATTTAATTTGGCCGTTGCCGGCAAAAGTGATTATGTGCCTTTTGCCAGCTGCAGCTTTTCAACTCCTGTCCCCAGAGTGTCTCCGGATTGCCGTTCTACACATGAGCCACCTCTCAAGTGGTTGCTCCGGATCTTTCATTTCGACTTCAATCATATTTCATGTCCGTCCTCCGTTCTCCATTCTCCATGCTCCGTTCTCAGTTCTCCGCCTTTCCGCCACTTGGTTTATGTTTATTGTTTTATCCTGGCTTTCCGCCGTGTGCCAAGGACTCGCGCACACACTCAGACATAATCAGAAAAGGTAATCAACATAAAGTTGAGCGTCGTCAGCAACAATTCTCATTCCCCGTCGGCACTTGTCACATTCACAAATGAATGAAGTGCCAAAAGCACAACTGAGACGGGAAAACTCCTGGAAAATTATGATGCCATAGACCCCAGCACAAGGTGTAACCGTATAGCTTGTTACTTAACCAGTCCCAGGTAGAAAATAAAAAGATTATTAATTCCCGAAGAAAACTAAGAAAGAACATGCATTATTTACTCGATAAAATTTGATTTAGTTTTTCGCTATATAAAATGTGAAGTATGGGAAGCTAGATTCCTGCTTAGATTTTCGTGCAGATGAATATGTATATCTAAATAAATAATATTTTGGAAGTATGTATGTTTTAAAACCTTATCGCTTCCGAGTGTCAAATGCGTTAATTTAAGTCTCTATATCTCAATCGCTTCTCATATCCGGTCAAGCTCCGCATTAAAACCCTTAAAATGATTGATCAACTCAATCGGTTGTGCTTTTGAGTTTCGTGTTTCGCCAAGCAGAAGAATTCAATTATTCAAGAGCCGAAAACAACGTAAAGGTGGGTTTAATATGGAGTTTGGGATTAGGAGAAGAGGGATGTGGTCGAATCAAACTCGAATGGAGTGTATATGTAAAAACCTTTTTTCAGTTTCCTTAATCAATAATTGCTTTTCTTGCGTCCAACTGTTACCAAAAAATTAGGCAACAAAAAAGTCTAAAAAATACTGTGAACCCAAATATTTTGATTGATGGTTGCACTGTTTTGCGATTCTGTTTTTTTGCGCCATGAAGGGTTAATGATAAATTGCTGAAAAAATAATATATTCCGTAAATGCATACGCTCCCCGGTCAGAGGCAATGAATTCCCTCATTATGGACGGACGACTTAATTAAATGAGCTTCTCTGGTCATTTTCTGGCCACAAAGAACGTCTCGAAACCAAAACAAACACTACAGCCCAGCCACCGATGGATGCCACCCCTAAATAGCCAACCGCAAACCCCCCAAAAGCTCCAACCCCTCGAACTTGGCTCATTTGCCGGTCTGCATTGCATTTAATTAAATCATAAATAAGCATAAAGCGCAGCGCATCTCCGACAATTAAACAAACATAAAAACCTACCAAGTGACAATGCCACGCCCCCTTCCACACAGCCCACACACGCGCACACGCACACACGCATTTCCCTGCATGGGGTGAACAGTAAATTGCGCACTCAAATGACCAAAAACGCATTGAAAATTGCATTTAATTAAGTCAATTCCCGTGCTCGCCTTTGGCCGGAAAAGCCGCAACATACTTTCCAGCTTCGATGGGGACTTTAATTATGTCCTGTGAGGGGCAGAGTCCTTTCTTCACAAAGTACATTAACTTTTGTATCTCTAGAAAACGAAGAGTTCACCTATAATAAATAATGCAATTAAAATAAAATGACAGCTAAAACACTTACTTACAATATACATTTATTATTATAAAATACATGATTAGATAATGCTAAAATCTTTAAGTACATAGCTTAAAAGCTTAAATTGAGGTGATTTTCTGTTTATCTGAGTGAAAGTTTTCTTTCAAGTTGAAGTATTTTTCTGAGTTTTTTAACATAATTTAACTCAATCAAGTTTCCACTCAACAATTAAACCTGAGTGCAATATTAGCAACATCTGATCAGTGCTTTTTAACTACTTTGCCTAGTTATATTTTATGTTATTCAAAATCCAATTCCTGAATGGATGAACCCGCATAAATAGGAAAGAATCGAGATCGTCACCAGGTGCTGATGTAGTACTGATTTGTATTCCGACCAAGTAGAAGTTTCTTGGCTTTCCGTTCACCACTTCAAAGGCCATCAGTGGCGATCCCCACGAAAGGAAGGATTTGTTGTCTCCCACCGAGCAAAGATGGTTCTCAAACAGTGGACGAAGGTTCCAAATTTTTGAGTTGCAGAACTCTCGACTTGCAATTTGCAACTGCACCTTCGATCGCCATTTCTCATCGTTTTCCAGCTTTCGGGGCAAACTGTATTTCTTGAATCCAGCCCATTCCAATCTCTGTCCGATGTGCTTATCCTTGTCTTCTCCAGCAGGTGGCAAGCAGATGGGTTGCACAAAGTCCGAGAAGACCACACTTCGCTCCAGTTTGGCCAGCGCGATGTTGTAGTTGAGACCGTCTAAGACAGTTGATACTTTATACCGGGGATGCACCACCAGCTCCTCGATATCCACCGCTTGAGGGGGCGTGGTGCACTGTGAAATGTCCCTCACCTGGCGACAATCGCCCACTTTGAATTCAGAACTGGCATGCCAGTCTCCAAAGAGGATAAACGTGGCATCGCCAACCGGTATGTTGAGAACACAATGGGCGGGAAGAATCGCATATCGCTGATGGATCAGCACCGCAAGACAATGGAACTCAATGCTGGCATTATTTGAATCTTCATAGCCAACGCGACCAATCCAGGTGTATTCATCCGGAGCCGTGATCTCATTTCGGTCGTAAAGCTGGCTTTCCCGCAGTTTTCCGCATTCTTCCTGCGCCTGGATTACTGTGAAAATTAATATTATGAATTTTGCATTCAAATAAATTACATCTTTTAAAATAAACTTACGCATTAAGAATGCGGGCAATACCCCAAATACAATCAAGAACATGCGGTCAGCAAACATTTCACGGTGAGTTTCTAGCGGAACTGACTCGAGATCGGTCGGCTAAACGGGTTTATAGTACTTATCTAAGCTTTAACTAAGCGCAAGTTTATGCATTTTAAAACGCCCGGCTGCTTCGGGTTTTTTACAATTCAATCGAATTAACACTCAACTAACTAACTTACAACTAACAGTGACGATAAAGTCTTTGAGATTTTTTTCAAAGCCATTGATTAAACGGGTTTATAAATGTTATTAAAGCTTTTGCGTACTACAGTTTTTTCATTGAGAAACTGCAGCTCAGAGAAGAGAAGAGTTTTCTGATTTCTGAATGATATTATTATTAAAGTCTCAATCAATGAGTTCTATAATTGTACTATATCTCTCTCTCATTCGTTGCTTTTGTGATGATGTGATGAGAGTATTCGGTATTCGCTATTCACATTGAGTTTGAAAAACACTTACTGTTTATTTTGACAAAGCAATTGGCCCAAATGGATGCAAGGATTGTCTGATAATGATATGTTGATGACGATGTTGTCGTCGAGCTGGCCAAAAGCCCATCGGTGCCGTCAAACTGCACGTCGACGTCTGTTGTTTATTTTAATTACTGAAATTGCATTCGAGTGCCAACTGCCAAATGGCCAAGGTACGGCCCAACCACCATTCGTCTCCCGTTTACCCCCCATCATTTACCCACCCTTCACCACCCCTTTGCTGATGTGGGCTCCCCACTTGTTTTGTTAGCAGCCACTGCACCGCTATCATCGTGCCCGTTGTTGTTGCTACTGCTGACATGGCTGCATTTTGCTTTCATTTGCGTTTACGTTTGGTTTGGTTTTGGCCATTGCCTTCAGCGGGCAGTCCAAACCTTCCGCAACCGACCCATGCCACCCCCTCATCAAGCCTGCCACCGAACGGTGCATGTATCAAAGTTTGTTCAGGTAAAATGCCGTCGCGCAATTGTTATGAGTGTCATCATCAACGTCGATGGGCGGGAGAACGTGGAACGGGCTCCGAAACAGGAGCATGAGTACACTGGCAAAAACACCGCAGAATGTTTGGTAGGTATCTAAATAAATTGTGAATAAAATTATAAGATTGTAAGTTTTAGATATCTATTTTTGTTTACATCACCTTTTCCAAAACCGAATAATCGAATAATTCCTTTTTTTTTTTTTTTTTTAGATAACCGAATCTATTGTATTGTAATATTAATATATATTTATGACTCACTTTCTTATGTTATTACTTTTATGCTGAATGTGATTTGTTGATTTTCTTTCAGTGCAAAGGTAGGAGTTGGGAATCGGTGGAACCAACCTTCTGTTAAACATGCGACACATTATCGATGCCCGTTACTTGGACGCTTGGTCGAAGGGAACAATTTCAGCCGGGAAGGTCCTTACGTGGGTTGTGAGCAGGGGAGCGGTGCGTGGTCAGTGAACGCGCGCTTTATGCAAACACTTGGCAAACAGAAATGAAAGCATAATATTGAGCGCATGGGGCAGTGGGTGGTTAACTGGGAGAAAGGAACTTACAAGTGGCCATTGCCAAGGAAAGCTATTGGAGGATACAAGAGCCCAAGGAATTTAAGATGTCACAAAGAGGCGCTCTTTAATTAGCCTTTAAATAAATTAAGGTTTAATAATACATTTTATGCATCTCTTATTAAAAATAAGAATTAAAACCACACACAAAAAGACGTTATAGTAATCCTGTTTGCCAATAATAAAACCATTTAAAATATTACAGACTACGCAAAACCGAAAAACAAACACAGAAAACGAAAAGCGACACCGAGCAACAAAGTCCTTGGGCAGGAGACACCCAAATGCGCTTTAATTAAAAATTAAATCCGTTTTGCGCTCATAATTATGCAGTTCTCACATGCGCGCCCCACCCCCGCCCCCACCCCTCCCTCAACCCATTCCCACCCCCCAGTTCTCGAACGAGCGAATCATTCCGAACTGGGTCTGTCCGGGAAAAGTGGAAAACCGACGAGCTGGGAGCTCGTTGGGCGGGGCGTATGAGTAATAAATTTGTAAAGCACCAAAAGGGGTTGGCAAAGCGAAAGCGACAGGCAAAACGAAGGGGTTGGGGGCTTTGGGTTTGGGCACAGAGACAGCGCAGAAGGCAACGGCATGTAATCAGTGAATAATTCAGTTATAAGAAAATAATTTTTCGCCAAACATTAAAAAAGCGCCAAGCGAAAGAGACAAGCTCCACCCTTAGCTGAAAAGTGGGCATGGAAAGTGGGAGCTTGGAAAATTAGGGGAAAACGCCCCGCCCACAACAATAACAGACACAAAATCTCAGCGAGGGCAAAGGAAAACTGATGGCAGAGACGAAGACGTTTGGCGTCATGTAAATAAGAATTATGAAAATAATAATGGAAAAAGGATTAAGACGCAAAACCAGCCGCATCACCAACCCCACGGGCTAAAAGCGGGCAGACAGACATGAAAAGCGTTGCAAAAATGTGGTTGCTTTACGAGCAGAAAAGACAATGCTCCTAAAAACGTTTCGAATCGGTGAGTACCTCATGCTCACTTCTTACTATAAATTATTAAAATATTACTATAAGATTAAATTATAATAAATAGTACGTTAACTTGCGTTTAAATTAGTTAGTAAAATCAATTTGATATTTCAGAAGTAAAATTAGTAATATATCAGTTATTTTAATTTCATATTACAGTACATAGTAATATCTTGATGTTCAGTAAGACAAATTTGATATTATAGTAGTAATATTAAAGTTTAAACATCAATAACAATTTTAAATTATTGTAATATTAAGTAATGATATTTCGAAATTAAAGACTTTTTATTCCATTCATGCCAACCCAATAATATCAATTCTATATCTAGTAATTTTATGATACACATCCCATTCTAGTAATACCAATATGTCACTCCGCTTTAAATAATTTTTGTAGGGTATCGAAACATCGTCGAGGTCAAAGGCTCCCCAAAAACCAAGACAAGATGAAGATGTCGACGAAGGCCAAGTCGAAGGCAGTAAAAGGTTACGACGCCCGGCGTATGTGCGCCCCGCAGGTTTTTTCGCTTGGTAGGTGGTTAAGTGAGAGAAGGGAGGGAGAGGGGGGAGGGGTGGGTTAATGGCAGGGGGTGGTGGCGGTACACTAAGCCCACACGACATGCAGTCGCGTATAATTATGGCATTTTTACAGTGCGGTATTCGCTGTTAGTTTTCCTTGAATTTAATTACTGCCGCCTTTTTGCATGAAATATCGAGGGGGTGGTGCTAAAAACCAAGTGGGTGCGGGTGGTTTATGTAGCTTGTTCCGGGCAACTTTGCTGCATTTTTAATGCGACCACAGCTCACACGGCGAACGGAAAGAAAGAAACGGGAGAGCCTGATGCCAAGATGCTTAACACCCAACCGCCGACGACACCTGCCTGATTTATCGCCCAAGACGCGACAATTTCCCACAGTTTCCACCGGGATGACATAGCACCACCACCATTCCCACCATCACCACCACAGCCGCCATTTGTCCCCAAACCAACACCAGAAAAGTTGTTAACATTTTAGACATTTTTTTGCCTTTGTGCATTTTCTTTTTAATTTCATTTTTCTACTCGACAAACGGCGGCCAACAATTTGTCGGTGCGGTGTCCTTGTTAGTCCTTGATGAAGGCTGCCAGAAAGTGGTGGTGGTGGAGCCGGTGGTGCTGTCGGCTGATTTCGTGTGTGGCGTGTAATTGTCTTGTTATTGTTGCTCGGGCTGCTTAAAATTAATTTTTATTTATAAGACACCGCTCCCAAGGTGCGAAACGTAGCAATTATGCCAGGCAATGCCATTAAGCAATTATATTTCACATAAAATTTATTGCTTTTTTGGTTTTTATTTATATCTATTGCTTTTACATCCAAGAAGCTCAAGGGAGAACTTTTGTTTTGCTGTCTCAACTTTCTTTGAATGTGAAATGCTAGGGAGTTTTTAATTAATTTTGGAAAAAAAAAATTAACAAAAAGCCTGAGCCCAGAAGTATAGTAATGCATAAGCTATAAGTAAGAATTATCGTCATTAAAAAAAGAAAAATACTTCTTTGTTTTATTGTCTAAAGACAAAGCTCCGCACGAACTGAAAATGCATTGTAATTAAACGTGGCCACAAAACCCTTAAATCCAAACAAATCTCAAGACCAAACTTAAAAATCCTTTTTTTTTTTGTGCAAAATATTCGTTGTGGATAACATCAAAGAGGCCAATCATTTGCATTTGCCAGTCGACAGCTCTTCACAATGCTTGAAATCCGCTTTTGAGCCGAGGAAAGCAGCCCCCTCACACGATTTTCGATCCTCCTCTTGACTTTCAAATAGTATTTTGCGTAAATATTTATACTTCTTTTGTCAGCAATTTTTTCAATAACTTTTAATACCTACATATATCATGGGACGGGGACGGCAACAATGGACTTGAAATGAAAATTGGTAAATCGTTCGGTTTTCCACTCCCTTTTGTTGTTGTGGGCGCATGGATTATGGGCAAAAGTTGTGTAAAACGCAGAAGCGGGGGGAAATAGACCATCGCACTCATATGTGATATATATATGGCCATTCCGTTCTCCCCAAACCCCGATGATGAGTCGTCGTTGGTCGTTGTAATGAATAGCCTTCTGTCAGGCATTTTTACTCGGGTCTGCAGCTCCGGCAATTTGAGACCGCACTTATCTGCGATTATGACTTTTTAAAATTACACTTTTCGACACAGCAACTCCACTTCCCCCATCGGAAAACAACGGCAATTTATTGAAGAGATGAACGGCCAAAAAAAAAAAAAGAAATAGGCAAGGAATTTTTGCCATATCCCATATCCATATCGGCAATATCCCATGGCATACCTCAATTTAAAACAGGAAATGCCTCTTGAACTGCCGCTGCTTTTGGGGTTGTTCGGGATTTTTCGCTGCCTTTTGATTTACTTTTATTGTCAGATTAAGTGCGTCAAAAGGTAGCGCTTAACATACCCCTCAAACCCAAGCTGCCGCCCCCTCTTGAA